GTAGTTTATATGAAATAAAAAAACATACTATGCAAAAAACTGCACCACCGGCTGCGGAATCCGATGACATAAGCAACCAATGCTCAGAGCTGCAGACAGGAACCTCCTCACAAAGCGTTCGTAATTATTTAAATAAAAAATGTACACTTTTTGTAACTAATAGTTATAAATATATTTCAACATAGTGTTTTACGGATGTATAGTTATCTAGAGCCGTCGACAAGCCAGACTGCGGCCCTTGTTTTCCCCGGGCTTGCAGGGTTTTTATTAAATTAGGTGTTTTGTTTTCCGCCAATTCGTTTTTCCGCGTCGCTGCGAAATTCATGGTTCATTTTCATAAATTCACTCTGGATAATATTGTTTTCGGCTTTGCATTTAATTGTATACCAGTGTGATTATGTAATTCCTAGAGTATTGACAAGTAGGTAAACTTCTAGAGAATGCGCACACCTTTGACTAAACTGCCGCACGACCGTTGTGCGATTGTCGATTGTTTCGCAGCCAATTCAACTGTTTAGCACAACTAAAAATGGAGCAATGTGCGCACCTCTATATAAGCTCAAAAGAATCAAAGCAAGACTAAACAGTTGTGCGATAGTTTGGTCTATGATATGCGCGTTGTAAACTTTAAATTTTATTGTTTTTGTTACAATGAACTAAAGAATTTTCACGATATGTGATAACTTTTTGCGATCATTTTTACTGTTTGACTTTCGAAATTCTGTTTCATTTTTCGACACGACAATGGGCTCTTAAATTTTGGCAAAGTTCCTGAAAAAAATATAGTTATGTTTACTAATGCTTTAGGTGTGTTTTGCGTAATTGTGTCAAGTTTACGCGTTCGTGTGTTTGCGTGATCATTGTGTTTAGTTTATCGAAGAGTTAATATCATCAGCTATTTTACAACTCAATAATCCAGTTTGCGATTAAATAACAAATTGTGTTAGTGGCCGTCGCAGTCACCAACCCTTCTTATAACATGTCTGTTGTCTAGACCGGGTTCCTAAACTATTTAGGCGACAGACATTCAATGAACATTTATTTTATACAATTAGTAGAGCATTGATCGAGCAAACTTTTTAAATCTTAACACTATTTAGAAGTACATACTTGTGTTAAATCAACTTCTGATTATTAGGTTTAAAAACTATAAATGACAAGCTTTTGCCAGAGACTCCGTCCGCGTGGAATTAAAAAAAAAACAAAAGTAAGTAGCATATGTGTTCTTCCAGACTATCACCTGCACCTGTACCAAATTTCATTAAAATCTGTTCAGCTGTATAGGCTGCAAACTCTAACAAACATCCATCCATCCAATCTTTCGCATTTATATTAGTATGAAGTATGCTTTACTACAAAAGGAATTACTAATCAAAGATCTAATACATTAAAACTATTACTCAGAATTGGCAATTTTCTGCATATCTATTTAATTCTGTAATTCATCTAGTCTGTTCCAATTTAACTCAACCAATAATATTCAAATTTAGCTGCGGAGTTCGCTAAACTAAATTGCAATTTCACGTCTCTGCTTCTCCTATAACGACCATCCGCAAACGATATCTGTTTTAACTACAAAAGCCTTCATCTTCCGAATATAATACGAAATACATATATCGAAATGTAATTATCCATTGAAGACTCTTGTTCTACACGTTACTAGCGTACAGAACAGGACAAGCAATGGACGACGTGCTATGCCTTTCAAACGTATGAAATGTTCAGCTTGGTAGAGGAGTATCGATCGAGGTTGGTTTTATGAATGGATGTCGTCCTCTCCCTTGTGTTTTCGACGCTGTCAGTCTGTCTCCCGGCTACACTAAATTAGGTATCCTAGGTATTACATATAATAATTGATTTATGATATTAGTTATTATACACTTTTGCTATCTATAGTAATATTACAAAGAGGAAGAAAGGAGATATGTATTCTTGTATGAATTGAAATAACTCAAAAACTAATGAACTGATTTAAAAATTCGTTCCCCATTCAATAGCCATATTATTGCTTAGTAACATAGGCTATATTTTTTTATTAATTCCGAGCGGACTAAGTCGCGAATTTTTTCAGTAGTCAGCATATAGTTAGTTTAAATTATTAAGATAAACACATGAAAAAGCAATTTAATAAGGGACAAGGGACAACTAAATATGTACAGTTTTTCTTCTCTATGGTAACGAAATGTATTTCATATCTTTATTATATTTACGAATTATTTTTTTAAGGTTATGTTATATCGCCACTCTCAATTCGCAACACAGTATAAATTGGATTAGGGTGTCAACCTAGTTAATTCCGCTTTGTATTTTAACTTTATCATTCCAAGTGTTACTGAATTAATATTATTATTTTTCCATCAAATTTTGTATTAGAAATTTCATAATTAGATAACAATTTACTAAACGTAACCATTGCTACTTATGTCTCCATTCATTCTACAATGAAATGAATATAAAACGCATTGAACGTTAAACATTGTTATATTCTCTTACATTAAATACATTGCGTTGTATCGATCTCGCCTGGTTTTATGAATGGCGCCCCCTCCTGTAGGCACGGCTACCTCTTGCCCCCCACCATCTGGCAGCGAGGAGGAAGTGAAGTGAGGGGCATCTCAATTTCGCTGAGCTGATTTACGACGGGAACATTATCCAGGCAATTGGTTAAAAGGTGGGCGGATACATTTTCGACTCACGTGTTATTTGAATTGTAAGTCGATATAAATTAACGTTAACTCATTGAAGACCAAGTTGTTAGTTAATTCTCTGTTATTTTATTTTGATAAGGGAAATTATCCTTTGTAAAAACTAATAAATATAAGGAGGAAATGTAGCATATATTGTTCGTAGCTTATTCAACTATTGTAGTAAGTACAAGCTATTAAAAAATTAACTTGAAATTAGTTTTATAAGTAAGGAATTTTAAAATTGTTTACCAATAATAATGAAAAACAAAGAAGAATACTGTCAGTGAAGTTGTTGGATACTATTGCTTGATAATCACCGTTTTATACTTAATCTATACTATTATAATAAAGCGTAAACACACACTTCTTTGTTACCTAAGATGTCAGCAATTACAGCATATTTTTGAATTATTCTTTTTTTTAATAAAAAGCCCTACACTTACGTCACGCTTTAGGCTATATACTTTCACGAATTAAACTTAGGGGGTAAATATTTTGGATAAAAACTCTAATGTGGGAAAGAGACCATAAGTTGCAGCCAACATCAAGGAAGCAAGATTGCCATGGTATGTTATTGTGATGTCATTTTGACATTTGCAATTGATAATTTGACCCATGTAAACAATGTAATAAAATTTTCATAATTTTACACGCATGAAGCTAGTTACATATAAAATTTTACCTACATTCTTGTTCTCAAATTACTGGTAAATGCTGAAGAATATTAGTTGTGCGTATATTTGCATCAAGTGACTGCACTTGGCAGTCAATTGCCGTGTGACATTAATTGGCAGTCGTGGTAACGCTCGGCTAATAAAACTGCTCAATGCATACTTGTTCCGCTATTTAACGGTAATATTGGAAGCGTATTATAATAAACTAGCTGATCTCGTGCGACTTCATCCGTATAAAATTATGAAAATTTTATTTTATTGTTTACATGTGTCAAATCATCAATTGCAAATGTCAAAATGACATGACATGATGAAAAATCGTAATGTTGGCGTCTTGTAGTTTATGGCCCCTTTCCCACATGAAGGTTTTTTTTTAATTCATCTATCCCCAAAGTTTAATAGCGTAAAAATGTATAGCCTAAAGCGTGTCGCAAGTTTAGGGCTTTTCATTAAAGAAAGTATTATTCCAAGATATGCTAAAATAAAATTGGAGTGTTTCCTTGTAATATCAAATGAAAAATTCCAGAAATTCGCATTTTAAAAAATGTTGCATGTCTGTCTGTCCGCAAGCCGCAAGCCGCGTTTGTACCGATTGATCTCCGAAACGGTTGCGTCGACTTCGACCGGATTTTTACTGAATGTTAGCTGACATAAATCGGCATGTTATAAGCTATTTTTTTTTAATTCCGCGCTAACGAAGTTTGCGGGCGACAGCTCGTAGAAAAATAAATATAAACCCACTTACATATATAAAACTATTTTAGGACATAATAAAGAGGGTCGTGTAAAAGTTACGAAGCGAAATGTTCCCGTAGCCGCGGCCCTGGAGTACGTGACCTGTGTCTCAAAAACACAAGCTACCATATATACTTACATGTTACATCGCATTGTCAAAGACGAGGATGAATAGCCTCGATCCCCTTAATGTTATCAACGTAATATACTAACCTTACAGTTTTTTATTTATGTTACATTTTAAATTTCGAAAACATTTTAATATAGTTATCTTGCCCTTATTCCTACGCAGGGTATGTACATGTCTTCCATACATACATATCAGATGTCATAACCTCGTTTATACCAATACATCAATATTTTCCGTATAATTTTTCGATCTTTCTCTAGCGAAAGTTTAGATGGATGGATGGATGTTTGTTAGAGTTCGTAGCCTAAGCCTTTAGATCTCGATAAAATTTGGCATAGATGTACAGGATAGTCTGGAAGAACACACAGGCTACTCACTTTAGTTTTTTTTTATTTCAAGCGGACGGAGTCGCGGGCGAAAGCTAGTGTAATTATATTCTGGTTTTTGTAATAAAAACTCTAAGTATAATCCATTTCATTTCCCCGAATAATTTGTGTTATTTTGTAGTTTTTATATATTTTTCTAAACTTTACTTTTACTATTTACGCTCATTTTTACATCACTAGCGTATCCCGTCCCAACCGAGGGGCTCGGAGCCTGCTCTAAGTTAGGATGACCAGGCCACAGTCAACCACGCTGGCCCACTGCGGGTTGGTTGACTTTACACATACATGTGAATTTCTTCTCCGATTTGTGCAGGCATGTTGTGATCCTTCACCGTAAGCACGTCAGGTAAAATTAACTGTAACGTAAAAACTTACGACAGCAACTTACCATGTTCGTCTTTATATCTTCGACATAGGGAGAACATTATGTTTTTTGTTCAGCAAAACAGCCGCGATGCGTCTGTAAAAGAAATTATTATATCAATAATAAATAATACTAATGGCCTGTACCAACACTGGCTGATAGAGCCTCAGATAGCTTAAAAATGACGTCACTTTAGATAAGGGAACAAAATTCGATATTTCCATTAAATTTTACAATAATGTTAAATATTATTATTTATTATAAATCCTATCATAAGCAGAGTACAACAGATTAAACCATATTAAAAGAAAAGGAAAACGGACACAAATATTGTAGATAGTCGGGTCTGTGCAAAATATACCAAGAATTTAATTGGTTAAAGTATTTTAGGTCAAAAGTTACACCAAAGCAAAAGTTATCATGATGATCAAAGATTACTCTTAAAAGCCTTGTCTTATTAATTCACAGGAGAACTTTGTTTCTATTTCTACTTAATTATAGTTGTATCAAACCCACGCAACTGATAAAGTGCTGCCGTAATTGAAAGCGTCGCTCGTTACCGAAGTAATGTCTATGGCAATATTTTCACCTAAATTGGGACTATGGCCGTGACCGGTAAAAACGGTTACTTTATTATTTATTTACGACTAGCTTTCGCCCGCGATTACGCCCGCGCGGAATAAAAAACACAAAAGCAAGTAGCCTATGTGTTATTCCAAACTATGCCAGATTTCATCGAGATCCCTTTAGCCGTTTAGGCTACAAACTCTAACAGACATCCATCCATCCATTGAAGCGCCAATAGCCTAATGGTTTGGGGTGCGGACTATCGTCGAGGGTTCGAATTCGACAGTCGCCATTCGACTATTGTGAACCATATCCTATCACAAGCCTAGAGGTTAGTTATAATGGTTAAAGGAAATATTAGTAAATTACCAAAAATCGACTAATATTTTCATTAAAAAAATCCTTCTAAACTTTCGCATTTAACATTCTAATTTCTGTACATTTTGAGATAACGAATACTGTAATGTTTTTTTTCTATTTCTAACGTAGCTGGTGATTGGTGAACATGGGCATCACCAATGTAGTCCGGGTACTGCCTCTTAGAGCTAGCCTAAATCATCGGTATAGGTTGAATTGAATTATGTTTGTTTAAACACGTTGTAGCAAAAAAGTATCTTTCTCGCTTGTAGCTAAGCTAAGTCTAATTGTCTGGAAGAATATTGCGGCTAATTAGGAAAGGTGAGATATAATGTTATTTTATAAAATAACCGCCTGATAAAGCGAGATTAGACGACAATAGCCATTAAATGTTAAAACTAAGCGACACAAGTGGCCTGTCAACTTTATTGTTCTACTGAACGTTATAATTCCTTGAAAGGCACTTGACACAGTTCCCGTCTCCGTCCCGCAACTCCTAGGCTGAATGAAGTGCACTGCTCGGGACTTAAATATTAATTTTTAACGATTAAGCTGAGTATACACTACACATAAGTGTTTGTTAAAAAAACAATGTTGTAGATGGTCTAAAGAATTACTTTCAGAATAATATGCAGTACAGATAAAATAAAATGTTGTTACAATTTATATCTATTTTCTGATAAGTGATCGTAAAAAATTATGCTGTCTTTTAAAGGAAAAAAAGTTAATTCTTTCCTTATCGTTGTCGATATTTTTTCAATTGTAGGATCTTTAACAATGAGATTTCTTTGAAGTGGATAATGTCAAGAGAAACGTAATATCCAAAAACATCCTGTTTATTTTTCTTTGAATACAATGTTTGTGTACATAAAAAGGTGTTATGGCGCACTTAACAGACAAGGTCGCGAGCTTACATAAGTACTGGGAAACTTGTGTTATCCCACTTCACTACACAATAACACTCGCTGCCCTGCGTTGTAAAATGCGACGTATAATTGGAGACTGGGAATATGAAGCGACTGCTGCATACTTTCCTCATTACGAAATAACAATAAAATCGCAATTAATGTATAAAGCCCTCTTTCTGTAGGGCTATCAGTTCTGTCAAATTTTAATTGAAGAGTCAAATTGTTCAGTTACAACTGTGTGTAGGCAAAATTTGAACTGATTGTTGAAGTATATGTCAGACTTTAGTAGTGCAAGCTTATTATCAGTTCGAGATGGCGTCTAGTTATGTTAGTTTTCAAATAATTGATAATTTGATAAATGTGAACAATAAAATGATTTTTTTTATAATTTTATGCGGATGAAGTCGCATGGGAACAGCTAGTTTAGTATTAGATCTGAGTGTTTTTTTTGTTTTTCTTCTTTTATTTATAGAGAAAGTAACGAGTAAAAGGTTGGTATGGGCACGTTATGAGGAGGGACGAACCGAATGTTACAAGGAGAACGTTAGTTATGAGTGTGGAGGTACACAGGTAGAGGTAAACCTAGAAAGAGATGAATGGATTGCGTGAAAGGTGACATGATCAAGAAGGGAGTGATGACTGAGATGACGTAAAGATAGAGTTATGTGTAGGACAAAAACCTGTTCGCCCGGTACGGGAGTAGGATAAGGTGATGATGATTTAAATTTCTCCTTAGATTTAGATTAAGTTTTCTAATTGTGACCGAGTGTAATGTAATAATTAATTAAGTACGTGTTTTCTTCTCCTCTTCTGTAAAACTCCGTGTTCTGATTAAGGATTCACTGAAAACCGGCACTTCAGTGTACAACATAGAACATGCCGAATGAATTCCTATTCTTTTTTTGAATAAACGAATTCCTTTCTTTCTAAATGGTTGTGAATATTATTGCTAGTACTTGCTACTTCAGTTACCAATTTCCTTGTTCTATAAGGGTATAAGAGTTACTTTTTACTTTTGTAAGTAGCATGGTATATCTATACGAATATAATAAAGCGTAAACACACACTTCTTTATTGCCTAAGATGTAGGCAATCACAGCATATTTTAGAATAACTCTTTTTTTAATAAAAAGCCCTACACTTACATACGTCACGTTGAGGCTATATATTTTCACGTCGTTAAACTTAGGGGTAAATATTTAAGATAAAAACCCTAATGTGGGAAAGAGACCATAAGTTGTTGCCAACATCAAGGAAGCAAAGTTGCCATGGTTTGACTTCATGTCATGTCATTTTGACATTTGCAATTGATAATTTCACAAATGTGAGCAATAAAATGAATTTTTTATAATTTCATGGGGATGAAGTCGTATGGGAACAGCTACTTGTTTTATAAATTACATATCGCATGTAGTTTTTTGACTTAATTAAAACATTTTACGTTAATTAAAGGTACTTCGCTTGGTATTTCACAAGAGATGTCGACAGCTGACATGTCGCCCCCAACCTCCGCGTACACCTCCACTCGTGTTCAAATTAAAAAGTTTGTAAGGTTTTTGAGAGACTAAAATAATTAGCTTGTAAAAATATTTTTAAATTGACTTAATATATTCATATATTACATAAGTTACTTATATTTTTTGAATACTTTTTTTATGTTTTGTTTTAATACAGAAGTAACTTTCGCCCGTGACTCCGTCCGCGTGAAATTAAAAAAAAAAACAAAAGTGAGTAACCTATGAGTTCTTCCAGACTATCCTCTACCTTTATACCAAATTTTATCGAATTCCGTTCTGTCGTTTAGGCTACAAACTCTAACAAAAATCCATCCATCTAAACTTTCGCATTTATAATATCACTAGCTTTGCTCGCGACTTCGTCGGTGTGGAATTTAAAAAACAAAATTGAGTAGCATATGTGTTCTTCCAGAGTGTCCTTTACATCTGTACCAAATTTAGTCGAATTCCTTTCAGCCGTTTAGGCTACAAACTCTAACAAAAGTCCATCCATCTAAACTTTCGCATTTATGACATTAGTATAGTATGATGTATAATTTTACTGTTAATAGCGATAATGTATTAATATTGCTGTTTTTAGACGTCTTTACCTTTACAGTTATTTGCCTAGTAAGTATTATTATATTGCAGTACGATTCTTTTTTAATTGTTTTAATAAAAACAGATTTTTAAATTAAAAACTTTCGATGTAGGTAGTTTCAATGATCTGATGTAACATAGACGAAGTTTAACTTTATTATACTTACTTTTAAGATATTTTTAGGCTACTTAAAGATAATTACTTAAATACTTATCGTTTGTACATTATTTATAAGAAACTAGCTGTTCCAGTGCGATTTTGTCAGCATAAAATTATTTTATTGTTTACATTTGTCAAATCATCAATTGCAAATGTCAAAATGACATGACATGATGACAAACCATGTCAATCTTACTTTCTTGATGTTGGCAGCTTGTGGTCCCTTTCCCACATTAGGGTCTTTATCCAAAATATTTACCCCCTAAGTTTAATGGCGTTAAAATATATAGTCTAAAGCGTGTCGCAAGTGTAGGGCTTTTTATTAAAAAAATGAATTATTCAAAAATATACTGTAATTGCTGACATCTTAGGCAACAAAGAAGTGTGTGTTTACGCTTTATTATAATGGTATTGATATATGTAGATAGATTACGTCGTAGCGGAATGAGCTACGGCGTAGGGGATCTTGATTGTCTAGGGTTTGATTACCAAAAGATTTACCAGAATGTTATGCGAATTGTTACAATTTTGTTTGAAAAAATAACAAATAAAGCCTTTTTTTAAACTCGCTTTTGTCCGCGACTCTGTCTGCGTGGAATTAAAAAAATCAAAAGCGAGTATCTTATGTGTTCTTCCAGACTATGTTCTACATGTGTGCCACATCCGTTCAGCCGTTTAGGCTACAAACTCTAACAAACATCCATCTAAACTTTCGCATTTATAATATTAGTATTATAAAAATAATTATCATACTTAAATTGGATAGAAATAAAAAGCCAGTTAACAATATAAACTTGGTTAAATATTTTTAATTATGAAAAATAATTATTTTATTTTGAACTTGTATCTCTATTTTTTCTCTACAAATTTATTCAATTTATGTTTGTTAAACAGTGTATTTTTTTTAAACACTGTACTTTTAATAGAAAAACAAGAACATTGTGGTTTCCGAATTCCGCAATCTAGACACAAAATACTACATCTAGCTAGCATAGAGCTTAGTGTACACGAACCTGCGCTGATCTAGAGTTCCCTTTCCACGGTACACTCTAAACCCATTATCAGTCACTAACCAGATTCAATTCTATGTATGGCTTTACCCACACAGCACTAAGTGAGGGAAAAAGTTTATTCACATGTGTTGAGATCAGAGCGGTTGCTACGTGCGCTCCGTGCGAAAGTTCGACGTATACTGCCGAAGTTACTGAGGTTTTTAACGAAGTCGTTCGGGAACGTTCGGCTCGCATCGACAGCGAACGGGTTCTTCAAGTGAATTCGGTTGTTCGATGCTCGTTGTGGCGTGGATGAAAAATGCAATGGCTGGTTTATTGTACTTCAGGTAACGTGCACTATGTTAACGACTGAGTGCATGTTTTATTGCTTCGCAGCGTTGGAGTAAAAATGTTTTGCGCGCTACGGTAATAGTATTTTTTTTTGTGCAGTCGTAGACCAATTATGATAAGTAAACTATATCAATTACTCAAGTTTTTATACGTAAGATGAATAAATAATCATTTTTCTAGTTGCCTTAATGTTAATCTAATAATCGTGAATTTCCAAAAGTCGCTAGCTTTTTTGCTATCTTCTATACTAATATTATAAAGAGGAAAAATTTGTATTTTTGTATGTATTGAAATAACTCAAAAACTGTTGGGACGAATACAAAAATTCTTTCAATACTAAAGAGCTACGTTTTTAGTGAGTAACATAGGCTATAATTTTTAATTTCATCTGGGCGAAGTCACGAGCAACAGCTAGTATACTATAAAAATGTTATATAATTCAGAAAAATGGTCCAGATTTTTAAAGCACAGTCACATAAATGTTAGTTTCAAATTTAATGTTGTCATACATTAGTAATATAGATAACATCAAAACATAAAAAGCACTAGGGTTCCTATAGTGCTATCTAGCACTAAACGGCACACACAAGTAGTTGCGGTGGCGTTTTATTTCGTTATGAAAAATTGATTTGATCCAAGTCGTTGAATTCTACTCGTTGTTTAATTCAACGCACGATCTACCTCACAATGCTCAATGGCACAATAATACGAAGCAACTTGCATGTAAAATATTGGTAATTTAAATATGAAATAAGCCTTTTCAATTCTATAACCGGGATGATACGAGCTTCGATAATTAACTAGCAATGTGAGTCATGGTTAAAAAACCTTTTTCTTTCATCATCATCTTTCCTGCCTTACCCAATTAACTCTATCATCCGTCATCTCAGTCATCACTCCCTTTTTGATCATGCCACCTTTCACGCAATCCAACTCTTTCTATGTCTACCTCTACCGGTGTACCTCCACATTCATAACTAACGTCCTTCTTGTTACATGCGATAATGTTTCTATATTATACTATTTGTGAGGTAATGCCCAGCTTTAACATCTTAGCTCGAATGGGACGGCACGCCCGGTGTAATACCACGACCACACAGAAGACAGGCGTGAAATGGAAGCAATTCCGTGTTTCGTCTGACGAGTGTGGTGCCGGAGGCCTAATTTAAGTCCTTTACTCTTTACTGCCCTTTTCTTATAAGGAGGGGATGGGTAGGGGAAGTGGATTTGATGGTGGAGGAGATGCATAGGAAGAGGGAAATTTATCTTTATGTGCGTTTCCTCCTCCGTCGGATAAGGGTAGGCAACGCATCTGCAATTGCGGATGTCTATGGGCAGCGGTCGCTTCAGCATTCAGGCGGTTCCAGGTGGCCGCTTGTTTGTTTGCCACCTTGTTATAAAAAAAAAAAATAATAATTTGATGTTGAGAACAACTTTAGCAGTGATGGCGATAACGATCATTAATAAAATAATTTACCTATTTTCTTAAGTAATGCCAATTACATTATGAACCACCTATGCTTTATTTTCCCTGAAATGTCCTAACTATTTTAAAAAAATCTTATGAAATTACTTGACAGTCTTATTAAAAATGTAATGAAAACTTCCAACATCTTGAAGTGGCCGCTTGAGATTGCTTACACGTGCGAGTTATTCATACACATACATCGTCTTACACTTTCCACTCTGATTAAGGTATAAAACATCTGGAGAGTCGATTCCTTGAAGTCGCTGTTAAATTATTACAGCCAAAACTACTCTCACTTCACGGAAGTTTATCCCTCCTAGTAACACCATTTATGTAACTTAGATTCAACACAATACCTATTACTCAAACTATTATTCTTAGGAAACCTTCAAATTCTTATGCCAGAAAGTTCGATGTATCTATGCTGCATGATTATCACGGCAATTAGAATAAGTTAGGCAACTTGTTATTTTTTTAAAATTGCCGTTTTTTTACATCATACGGTGGCAAACGAGCAAGCAGCAACCTGAATTCGCCGAAATGGCGAAGCGACCGCTGCAATTAGACATTCGCAATAGCGGTGCGTTGCTTACCCATAATCGACGAAAGAGGTAACGCACTTGAACAGGATATTTCCCCTTCCTATGCGTCTCCTCCACCAACAAATCCACGTTCCTTTCCCATACTTTTCTTATAAGAAGAGGGGTTGGAAGGAAAAGGCACTAAAGTTGGGTCTCCACCACACACACCACACTCATCAGTCAAAACGCGGAATTGCACCCACTTCACACATGTCTTCTGTGTGGTCGTGATATTGCACCGGGTGAGCCGACCCATTCGTGCGAAGATGTTAAAGCGGGCTCTACCACTCAAAGTCGTATTTATTATTTGCATATTTCTTAAGGTATTAATTCCTTAAAAGCAATCATAAGTAAATGCATTGTCGGTAAGATCGGTAGCATATTGAGGGAGCCGGGCGTGTCTTACCGGCGACCGGGTGACCGGGTATGCTGTGACCGCGTGACCCGGTCGCGCTGTGACCCGGTTACCCTGCAGCCGGGTATGCGCCCGGGTATCCCGTCTCCAGCTTGCATTTCGCGATTGATTCACTGTTATATACTACTTTAAAAATTTACAATCAAGCCTCGATTAATTTTAAAAATTCAATAATTTGTATATTCATATGCTTTTGCTCGCGACTTCACGCGCTTGAAATAAAAAATATAGCCTATGTTACTCACAGATAAATTACCTTTCTAACGGTGAGTGAATTTTTAAAATCGCCCCAGTAGTTTTACATTTATTTCAATACATACGAAAACTCTAAAATAAAAATCTTTCATCTTTATAACATAGTTACAGATATTTAGCGAAGAATGTGTGTTAAAGCAAACTGTACTTTGTATAGACTTTAACTATTTTTTTATGAGAGTAAAGATTTATACATTGTTTTTAATTAAAATTATATTATAAATTGCACAATTCAATAGTATATGACATCAAACAAAAACTAGTTTAAGTACATACAGACATTTGTAGCCATACACAAACCAGCAGTACAATTACGTAAAACCAAAAACCAATTTACGGTACGGTATATACGAGTAATTCGGTTTCAGCGGCGATCTTATAGTTTCTGCTTTTCAATTTAAATTTTTGCTTTTAACTTGAAAATATTTTCAAATTTAAAGTAATGATTTTACTTGTCCACGCATACTGATCATTTATTCTGCTTAAGGTCATAAAGTAGGAGAATATTTTGCTATCCGCATTTAAGATTTTTGTTACTTTTATTAAAATTATTATGACAATACCTAAAAGTAATAATTAATAAACTTTAGGATCATCATGGCGCAATGCATCGATGAAAAATGTCCGTTACCATCTATGAAAAAACTAGTTAACAAACTATGGTACAAAAAACTTAGTTACAAATATATCTTACCAATGATTATGGACTGTAGAGGCTTTGGCTTACACGTGCCGTGTCCTATGCATAAGTGATTTGACAACATCATGCACAGAATAATTGTGTTATGTCGGATAACCGCGTTAGCTCTGATGGACAATACAACTTCACACATGCTACAATTTGTTTGTGATCATTAAATTATCTACATTACGAATTAAATGCGAAACAATCAAAAGTCAAAATCCGTTAACTTATTTGTGAATTTAATTTAAAATTTATAAAACTTCGAATTAATTATAATATCAATTTCAATCGAGTTTTATAATACTTTTATAATGTGCTATTAAAAGTCAAACTTTCGATTCCCAGAGCATCGACTAGGAAGCTGTGTTGTAAATCCTTATCAAAACTTCTATAACCCGGATCAGATTTTGTTGAAACGTGAGCCGATTGAGCAGAGGAACCCAGGCCCTTAGCAACTACTTTCACCACTCTCCTTACATTTATTAATTCTTTCAACAATTTCTTCACCAAAATCGTCTTTGAATCCAGCAGTGCACGTAACTTCATGTTCTCCAATTGTAATGCTATATTCTTAGTCTGTTCCTTCAGTTCCCGCTGATATGCTTTATCTAGTTGCTTCTTTATTTCAAGTGTAATAATTCTGGAAGATTCTATCACTTCTTCTGTGCCGATTTTCGCTTCACGAAGCTGTTTTTTCAATCCTTCGATTTCTTTATTCCTACTTCTTATTGTGATATCTGTATTTACATGAGCTGTTTCTTTTTTCTTCTTTCGTCCGTTAATCTCTTTGACAACAACCTCAACGGCCGTGGAATCGTTTCGATATACCTCGTGAGGAACGTCCGGATTTATCTCTAAAATGTAAGATGCAGAACCTTTTTCTTCAATGTTGAGGAGTCGCGGGATTTCATTAACTTTATCGCCCATTTCAAAGTTATTATCACACAACTAAATTATCTCCATCGTATTCTCGAAAAGTGCCAATGAAATTTTATGTGTAAAATTACCACAGTTCGAAAATGTCATTAAATTTTTATCAGTTGTGTTTGTACGATGAAACGTCACGATAAATTTTTGCCAGTTGATGGACGGAAGGACAGACGTTCTATCATTGCCAATAGCATGATTTCGAGAAAAACCTCTTTTCAGTTATAAAAATATTGTGTTAAGAAAATAGAGCCTAAGCTGAATATGTACTTTAATGTTATTTTAAGTTTGATCTAACATGTTATTAAAAATAAGCTTTGATGTAAAAGTCTAGATAAACAAGCAAATATATTACAACTATCGCGATGCCACGCTCCACGGTTTACAATAAAAAGACAACAATCACAGTATGCTCAGTTATCATGAACGTTTATTAACTATTGCATTAATGATACGTGATGCACGTGTATTTCGACGTGCTAACGATTTACGACCTTGATATAATGGTTTAAGAATCAATTTCCAGTAGGCATTAGTGTAGGCCGAGAATAAATAACCGCTACTTGCCACACTCCGCAATATCGGTCCTTTAACAACTTTTGTTTTTTTAAGTAACTCATTTGAAATTTTATAATAACGCCGTTATTTTTTTTCTCTTACTCAATTTTTACTTTATATTATAAAAGGCCAAACGAGTAAACGACCACCTGCATTTGCTAAGATGGCGAAATGACCGCTGCCCATAGACATCCGCAATTGCAGATGCGTTGCTTACCCTTAATCTAAAGAGGAGGCGCACATAAAGAGGATATTTCCCCTTCCTATGTGTCTCCTCCAGCGTCAACTTCACTTTCTTTTCTCATCTTATCATTGTGAGAAAAGGATGGAAAAGGAAAGGGATTAAATCAAGCTTCCTTCAAGAACGCACACTCATCAGAGAAAACACGGCATTGCTTCAAATCCACGCCTGTTTTCTACGTGCTCGTGGTATTGTACCGGGCGAGATGGCTCTACAGTGTAAAGATGTTAAAGAGGGCTATTTAGTTTTAAAGACAGTATTCATATTTGATATGTTTTAAAAGTTCATAGAGTATTGTAACAAGGGAGTAATCCTTTGAACTGACCCAAAAACTTTCTCTTAAGCAATCCCACTGACCCCGAGGACCGGGTCACGTCGGCAAATATGGATTTTATACGGACTGAACGTCGCGAAATTGAAAACCAATTTTAAAGTAAAATTATAAAGCAAATGCCGAAGTTTATTACAAAATTTAAGGTCAATTTTGTTTATATTTTGACCAAAACTTTCAAATGTATGTGGTGCTATTTTTTCCGTGTAAAATCCAATAGAAATTTTAGTTACAAGAGACCAAGACACACATTTGGTTACCTGTGCCATCGTTGTAACAATAGTGAACCAAAAGAAAGGCATCTCTTTAAGATTGGCAAGGCAAATATATTCAATATAGAAAATACTACGTATTGTAAAATATGAGATTAAAATATTCCCTTGTAATAAATATTTAAATGCGGTGCATACGTTAGAACTCGGGGCACAATACGCTTTGTAGCGCTACGCCCCCGACCTGTCAGCGGCACGTAGCCGTAGCGAGGTCGCGTGCTACGCCGCCCCGCACATGCCGTAGCAGGCGTAACGAACTTACGTTAAGAATTATTTGTCTTTATTTATTGTTCTTAAATTTATATTTATCGTAAATGTCAATAAAATACATACTTTTTAAAACTACTAAGTTGTATTACTAAAAAAAAACAAAGTGTTTTAAACGAAACAAAAGATATAAAAACGAGTTTTCAATACCAACTTTGAGCAACGAAAAATCCTTTATTAAAATCTTCAAAAAAAATAATTCAAGAATCTAGATGTTTAAACAGCTGTGGTTGGCTGAGTACATTCGTCCTAGTTTCGCGGCCCCGAGCAGCACAATACCTAGGTATCCTAGACCTATAGCAATGACTACGTCGCTAGATGAGCGCCGGAAACTATTGTGCGGCGGAAGCGTGTCTATTGAGTTACCTTCGCTGCTCCTACACCTATTGAGTTAGCGTGAAGACGTCCACTGCCTATGTAAAATGAAAATAAAGTAATACACAAATAAAATAATTTCTCACATTTATGATATCGAGTTTTCGTTTCTTGATATATTTAATTTTGAGTAGAATTCTGTTAATTCACATTGATTCTATTTGATTTTGTATTTGTTCTAAAATTTATTTTTGTGAGGGTCTACTATTTTTTTTGGTCGTTTTATTTTGATTATTAAGTTTTAATTTGAATAAAAATGTAAATAATAAAGCAAAAATTAAAATTTCACAGCTAATTTAGTCATCATTCAGTGATATTTATTTGGGACTGAATAAAATCGGTTAAAAACATATATAACCTTCATCTTCGGTGCCATTAAAGGATTTAAGAGTAAAATAATACAACATTTTAATATAAAATTTTATTGATACAATTTGATATTTATATAAAACATTTTGCTTATAAATAATTGAAAATAATTACTATACTAACAAAATGTTAGCTTTATAATAAAAAAATCTAGACATTTCGAACAAAACAGTAAAACCGTGGACTGGGTTTAATTATTGAAATTCAGTAAAATATATAAATTTATTAGAAAATTATAAGATAATTTAAAAAATTAAAAAAAATTAATAAACCGATGAACATTTTATTTCATGCTTTAAAAGTTATCGTCTAGTTTAAAATACGTAAACTGGTAGTTTCATTACTAATTGAAAAAATCTTAAATATTTTTAGATACATCTTACTATTATCCGTACTTTGTCAAGAAACTAAAAAATAAATAAGTACTAGTTATATAGTTATGTGAACTAACATTTTATATTTTAAAAAACATATCAAATTGTTGACTTCTTCCAAAAGTTATAAAAAAGATTGTATACAATTTATATTATATAAAAAAATCTCATCAGATAATGTCACTCGATTTCATTTGTATATTTATTTACAAAAACGTACATAACATTACATATGTAAAAAATACATTGATTTTATTAGTTACAAACAGATCTTTGGAGACTAGGTACAACTAGATTTGAAACCTAATTCGATATTTCATCACATTGTCTTGAAAATACCAAAATAAAGCGAAACAAGTTGAAAAACGATAAAAATATGTAGTTTATTTTTTTCCAACGAATTTATTAAAAGGACCGTTTATGTTTAAAATATGGAACATTATAATAAAAATGAAATAAAGAGTAGAGAATTGCATAAGGCTGTAAAAAATCTTTTTTTTGTCAATGCAATATCCAATATAAATTATTAGATAAAGACTTAATAACGAATATAAACTATGTCCTTTGTAACAGAGTTATATCAATTTTAAATTACTAAAAAATACATAAAGATCAAAACAGATTCTATTTAACTCTATTATTGGTATCACTGGTAGTTAGTGGTGGTCAGTGGTTGTCAGTGGTTGACGGTGGTCAGTGGTTGGTGGTGGTAAGTGTTCAGACAACAGCACTACTGGCCATCATGTTGACGCCGCAGGTGCCGTCGCCGCGGTACACGCGGTAGTACCCGCGCTCACCCCACGACCCACCCCAAGAGTTCTTTACTATCCAATATGGCAGACGTTTGTGGAATAGAGGGTAGTCTGAAAAACATAAATCATTGACGTACTAACCTACCACCACTTGAAATACTAAAAACTAATAATAAACACTTAGTAAAACATGAGAAATCCTTTCAGTTGTTAGAAAAATTATCGCAAGCTTTGTGCAAGCATTACAACTTTAGGATTTATTCTTTTGATATAGAATACTGAATAATTTTGACAAATTATAATTTATATTCTTAAAATTTATGCATGATAAAATTTAAACATGAATGTTTAGAGGAATGGGTGGATGTTTATTATTACTAAATGGTTAAATAGATTTCGATGAAATTTGACGTAAAACACCCGGGCTACTTTTAAAGATTTGTTCCTTTTTATTTCTGAGCTGATAGTCACGGCTTTGATAGTCGAAGCTTTAGTGAAAATAAAAACATGCATAAACACTAGTAGTTAGAAATAATTGATATCTGACCGGAGACGCCATAGCCGACGATGAGCACGCCATGGTCGAGGTTGTCGGGGCTGCAGAGCATACGCCACGGGTGCGACACGCCGCCCATGTAGAACTGCATCGCGTTCGCATTTATACCTGACACCACAAAACACATCACTTACAGTTGTCCCAGTGCGGCTTCAGCCGCATATTATAAAAAACAGACGAATAAAGTATCTCCCTTCTTTTGGGAAGTCGGTCAAAAACATTCAATTGCAAATGTCAAAATTCGAATCCGTCAATGACAACGAAGGCTCTTGCTTGTTCGATGCTATTGGCAGCACTGTAGGGTTGTCTCTTTCCCGCATGACGGTTTTTTCCAAATTATTTACTGCCTAAGTTAAGTCGTACGTAAAGAGTTTTTTTTTATTAAAAAAATAATTTAAAAAACTGTGATTGCTAACATCCTACATAACTAAGTTATGCGTGTTTACGCTTTATTATATTAAGTATATTAAAATACGACGGAGATAGAACCTGGAGGAGGAAAACCTGGTGCGTCGATCCCACGGGAGTTGGAATAAGGACAGGTATATAATAATCATGAAAAAAATCATACTAAAAGCTTGAAAAGTGCCAACTTGCCTATAGATATTGGTCCATTTTTGACCAACCATTTGGCCATGTTGGTCTCATTGTTGCTGATGTTAACAGCGCCGCTGACAGTGACCCGGGACAACGTCTTATTGTAAATACACTTATCGTGCGCCTTGCCTATGTATGGATAGTCGTCTTCTAACTCCAAACCTCCCATTTGCTCAATAGCTCTGAAATTTTATGAAAAGATTTGTATATCAGCGTTCAATGTATATATTAAACTAGCGTATTTTCCAGACTATGCGTTACATCTATGACAGATTTATTCCAGATCCGTCCAGTCGTTTAGGCTACAAAATAACAAACATCCATCTATCTAAACTTTCGCATTATTAGTAAGAAATAAGATATATGTATAAAAGATATAAGAAAAGTTAATTTAATATCAAATTATTATCTATACCCAATTGTACACTTTATTTAGTTTTCATTGAAAAATAATAAAATAGCAACAAAAACTTTAAATTGTTAATGTAGATTTATAATTCCATAGACAAAACTTTAATTTTTATTTACAGTTTTTTTATACTATGTTTTAATTCTATGTAAGTTGTGTTCGTAAATTTTGTTCGTTTGTTTGTTTATGTTATATTTAAGTGTTTTCATCACGATACAAGTTATGTATCTGTAACTATGTATCATATTTTGTTAGCAAGCATACATAAACAAATGATTAAAACTAAATTGGAATTTTAATTACGTTTCACATTACTAGATATTTCTAGATCATTTTCTTCAGCTGAAACTTGAAATAGATTTAGAGCATAGTCTAAAAGAACACAGCCTACTAATAAAGTTTTCTTTTAATTCTATGAGGACGGAGTCTCGGGCAACAACTAGTGTCCTCTATATTAACCTAAGGTAAAACAAATTATATTTTATGATCGTCATAAAACATAAACAATGAATACATTAACAACTAACAAGTCGATTATGTTTTACTTCACGGTTTATAGGTGGTAAATTCCGTTAATTCCTGCCTTATTGTTTTCTATGTAATGTTTAAAAACAAAATATAACAGTGAGTTTCCACTAACGTAACGTCAACACTAAAACATCTTGTTATCCTACTTACTCTATTTAAAAAACCAGAGATAGCTATATGTTGGCTTAACGGTCTTACAGCAATTGACAATAACACTCATAAAGTAAACAGTTTAACATATACGTTACTTTACCGTTAATAATGCATATTTTTAATGTTTATGCAAATTGCATACATAACTCATATTAACAATAATTTTCAATGCTAAGGGAAATCCAATCAGAACTTTATGTATACTGAATTCTGTAACGAATTCGTGTACGATGCTAGCTTTAAAAAAACTGACAAGTTTAACAGTGGTAGAGCCCGCTTTACCATCTTCGCACGAATGGGTCGGCTCGCCCGGTGCAATACCACGACCACACAGAAGACAAGCGTGAAGTGGAAGCAATTCCGCGTTTCGTCTGATGAGTGTGGTGCCGGAGGCCCAATTTTAGTCCCTTTCCCGTCCCACCTTTTTCTTGAAGAGAAGGATGGATAGAAAAGTGGATTTGACGGTGGAGGAGACGCATAGGATGGAGAAAGATCCTTTTTATGTGCTTCTCCTCCTTCGTCGATTTAGGGTAGGCAACGCATCTGCATGTTTATGGGCAGCGGTCGATTCGCCATTTTGGTGGATTTAGGTGGCCGCTTGCTCGTTTGCCACCTTTTTGTATAAAATAAAAAGTTAGTGTCTTCAATTGGTTTCATTGGTACATAACTTTTTTATGTATTCAAAGAAATTGGTAAAGTCTTTATACTTCTGGTTTAACTATACCTATAAGTTATTAAAAAAAAGGATAACCACAGTTTACGGAAAGAAGTCCGAACTTGTGATACCTAAGTGAGATATTAAAGGACATAGTCGTCGCCAGTCGATGATTTAGGTAGGTTTAGAGGGGGGGAGGGGGGCAGGTACCATTAATATGGTTTTATTTGAAGTAATTTTTATATATCTTTTACATTTTTTAATTCTCTATGGAGGGGGACAGCTGCCCCCAATACGGGGGTATTACTTGCGACGCATCCACAAGTAATAAGTAATAATTTCAACTTTACCTGTAAGCATTGTCCATTAGACCACCGTTGCAACCTTCGTCCAATTTATCGCAGTCAACTAGCTCTTGCTCGCTTAATGATAGCAGGTTGCCAGTCTTTATCTGCCACTGGCCCTCGACGTTACCTAAAATATGACAATAGTTTAAGGTTAAGGGCTTAACAAATCCTCATGAACAAATTATAGCATCAGAAAAATTGTATAAACCAATACTAAATGCAGTACCTGTAACGCTGAAAGCCCAACAACTTCCACAGCTGCCTTGGTCCTTGACGGGGGTGACGGCGCCGCGCTGCCGCCAGTCGAACGCATCGGGCAAACTCACTTCTGGTATAACTGCTTTCGTCATCGGTATTTGATTCTGATCCCGTAGACTCGGTTTCAAACCCAAAAACTTACTCTTGAATTCTTCGTGGGTTAAATCAGCGAATTTAGTAACTCCATACGTGGCCGTGCCCGCATCTCCAATGTTCAATGCATGGATAATTCTCACGTTGTTTCTAAATATTTCAAACCGTCTTGACTTTTCGGTCTCATTGCTAATATACGCGGGCTTGTATGTTTCAAGAAAGTCATCAAAAAGAACATGGGCCTCTTGATTCCGAAGTGTAAAATTGCTACGTGTCTTATGGTCACAGAAGACACGGATATTTAAAAATCGGTCAACAGACGGTCTAGGCCATACATTCACATTACAAATCTTATTCGGACCCTTATCACCGACCAGCGTACAATTATGCTCAGGACTAAGGACCATACAATTTGTAGGGCCTACTTCTATTTTCATTCTATAATGGACACCAGCGATAAGCTGTCTCCCGAACGAGATTAGCTTCACAATTTTTTGTTTTCGAGGGTGGGAGTACTTCGCCTCAATGTGTTTTAATGCCGTAGCTGCTAATAGCATCGCGGTCTCTGAATTAATTTCTTCTATTGTACGCTCTTCACAGCTCACCTCTATATCTTTGCCATCTTTTAACCATGGTCTTTCCCAAACATGTGCCACACAATGCCGTAAAGCTGTATCATTTAAGAACTTACACTGTGTGATATCATTCACTAATTCAAACTTTAAGCATGTCGTATAACCCACGTCGAAATAAATTGTTGTCGGTCCAGATGATTTATTACTAGAATAATTTATTATTTGATTTACTCTCTGTTTATGTTTATGTGCAGACGACTTTTCAAGCTTCTCTAATGATTCAAGTACCAGTTTTTCCAATGTTACTGTACCCGACCTAAATTTTTTTTTATTGTTATGGTGTGATTTATATTTTCCTGTTGGTTCTAAATATTCAGGGTCATTAGGATTTCTTTCAGTTAACCCAGGGGCAATAACTTGCCTCTTTGATCTCTTTCTACTATCGCCAACTTGACATTTGACGTCTATGTCTTTCTTCTTAAGCCACGCTTGTTCCCACACGTTGGACAAACAGCTTATGACGTCACCTGTGCCTTGAGCTGGCAAAATCTTAAAGTGAATTTCCGTTTTTGTACCAGAAACAACTTGAGTGGTAACTTTTTCAACTTTAACCACTTTGTGGGGACTTGAATTGCCGGTAGTTTCTAAATACTTTTCCATAGATTCCTTTGCTAACTCCAAATATTCGGGATCGTTTGGATTTTGCTCGGTTTTCCCACCAAAAACTTGCCTCTTTGATCTCCACTTGCC